CCCCCCCCCCAGGTCTGTATTGTGCCCAGCCAGCCCCACATCTGGTGTCATTAGTGTGGCTGATGTGGCCACACAGGACCTTGATGTTCCTGAGCCCAGCAGGAGTCGGTGATTCCTGAAGGTCTATGGTGCCCAGCAGAGACCTGGACCTGGAGTTCGGGCTCTGAGGGCACCGAGTGGATGGAGTTGGGTGACTTGTGACCCTCACTACTTCCTGCTATTAAAGCCACTGGCCCCGGGCAGAGAGCCCCGCAGGAAGCAGTAGGTACCCTGTTTTCTCACGGTGGCTGAGTCAGAGTCTCTGAGGTCCCTTCTCCACCCACCTGGGGGGCCAAGATCCTGCCCTGGGTCCCAGGGGCACAGGAAGGGGTTGGGGATGACCTAGGGGACCCCAGGGGAGTAAGTCTATATAAGAAGCTGAGAGTTCTCAACAGGTGTGAGAACTCCGACTTCTAGAACAGCACCTGTATACAGTGTCCAATAGATGTTTTGTCAGTGAGGGGATGAATGAAAGCCATGGGCCCAGGCTTGGCTTCCTGTGACTTTACTGTGTCATCACAGGTATGTCATTGCTCTTCTCTGAGCCTTTACCCAGCCGGAATCGAGGGCTGGATTGATGGTCTCTAGGGGCCCTTCCAGCTGACGTCGGGGACTCCGCAGAGCACTGTCCCTGTGCTCGGGGCGCTGCGAGAGGAGCAAGGCCAAGGCTGGCTCTGCAGATCCCCCCTCCTCCATGGCTGTCTCAAGCAAGCTCAGGCACAGACTGTGTGTGTGTGTTTGGGGTGGCGGGGTCCCCCAGAGTGGAAGAGCTGGTGTCAGCAATCATGGGGGCAGCCCAGAACCTACTCTGACTAATCACAAGGCCTGAGGCAGGCGAGTTCCATGCCCGATGGTGGCAAGACTCACCTGGGCCCAAGTGACTTCTCATCAGCATCAAATGACTTCCCCAACCAGCGTTATTCCCTCCATCACCCTCCTTACCCACCAACCCATACCTAGGCAATGCTGGGGTCTGGAACTAACTGCCCATGGCCGGGTCTGACTTACAGATGGGTTTTTGCTAGACCCATAGCGTTCTGTTGGTAAGAAATGTTGAATGTGAATGTGTGGCCAGAGCAGGCTCTATTCCCGTTGCCACAGTTGCCACTCTTCCCTGTTGTCTTGCATTTGGCAGCTCCACACATTTATGCACTCTGCCTGACCCTGAAGGCATCTGAGGTTGGAAACGGTCTAGCTCAACAGCCCCATTTGTAAATAGGGAGACTGAAGAGGGGGTACGTCTAGATCAATGGAATCCTAGATCCTTTGAGATTGGAAGAGCCCATGACATCACCAAGGTCTTATTTTCAGATCTCAGCTCCACTGTCTTTCCCCAGATAAGCCTAACCCCGTGGTCGGCAAACTGTGGCTCGCGAGCCACATGCGGCTCTTTGGCCCCTTCACTGTGGCTCTTCCACAAAATACCACGTGTGGGTGTGCATGTACATGCGACTGAAACTTTGTGGCCCATGCGCAGAAGTTGGTATTTTGTGGAAGAGCCACACTGAAGGGGCCAAAGAGCCGCATGTGGCTTGTGAGCCGCTGTTTGCCGAGCCGCAGTTTGCCGACCACTGGCCTAATCTGACCAGCCCACTGGGTACAGCACCCCATCCAGTCTGCCCCTGCACCCCGCTTCCTCGTGTCTCACCCCTCCTGACATCCTAGTCTCTAGCCTGTGGTTTATTCTGTCTCTCTTGCTACCCTGTATGCCCCCTGAGGGCAGGATCATGGTTTGTCTAATTCACTATTGTATCCCCAGGGCCAAGAATAATGCCTGGCACATGGAAGATGCTGGAAAGCAATGGTTGAAGAATGGGGAAAATGAGGCCTTAGACACGGCAGCACCGGCATCAGACACCCTCCTGCCGCGTTTCCCTGGGTTGTTCCGGGACATCCTGGAATTGAGCTGGAGCCCACGGTCACCCGGCAGTGGGCAGGCCTCCCCCCCTCCCCCCTCCGCATGGGGATGCGTGTGCGGCTGACCGGGACAGGCCCTCCCAGCGGTTTGGTATGTTCTACCGGGAGGGGAGAGGGGCCAATGATGTCATTCCGCTCCGCTGCCCCGGCGCCTCCCAAATTTGATATATTAAGTCTGGAATTTCAAGTTCAAGTAGACCACAGAATGGGTGTGCAGGAGGTGACTTTTGAGGGTTCTGAGCAGGGTAGTGGCCCTGGCAGCTCATGGTGTCTTGAAAGAAATGTTCTCAGAGCAGAGGAAAGAGGGAGGGAGGCAGGGAGCAGATAGCAGAGGGTGGGCAGGGAGGCCAGAACAGGAAACGCCTCTGGTTTTTCCCCAAGAGTAAACATTTTTGCTCACCAAAGCTGTTCAAACAATACACAAAAGCATGAGGAAGAAGGTAGAACGACCCGATATTCTACCTCCCAGGGATCTAGTCAAAAATTACGAGCCCATTTCGGGTCAGAAGGCCTGGGCTCCGATCCTGGCTCCACACTTTCCAGCTTCGGATCTTGAAAGGGTCCCTTAGCGTCTCTGTGCCCTGGCGTTTTCATTTGTAAAGTGATGCTCCTCTCAGCCTCTCTGCCCGTCTCTGCTATTTCCCCCCTCTTTCCTCCGCTCTGAGAACATTTCTTTTAAGATACAGTGACCTGGTCTGGCCCCTGCCCTGCCCACAACCTGCAGAAGGCACCTCCTGCACACGCATGTTGTGGTCTGTTTGAACTTGGGATTCCAGGCTTAATTGGTACCTGCCATCTAGTATTGTTGTGAGGATTAGATAAGTCAGGACGTGGAAGGGGCTTAGAATACTGCCTGGCTTGTGGTGAGGGCTCTGTATGTGTTTGCTCGCATTTTGTCATCATCATCATCATTGTTGTCATTGTTGCCATCATCGTCACCATTATCATCATCTTTGCAGATAGTTCTTTGTACACAATTCCATCTTTTCCATCCGTCCATTCACCCATCCACCGACCCACCCATCCACCCATCCACCCATCCAGCCATCCATCCACCCATCCATCCACCCATTCACCTACCCATCCACTCATCCAACCATCTATCCACTCACTCATCCATCCATCCATCCATCCACCCACCCATCCACCCATCCACCCACCCATCCACCCATTCACCCATCCATCCACCCATTCACCTACCCATCCACTCATCCAACCATCTATCCACTCACTCATCCATCCATCCATCCATCCACCCACCCATCCACCCATCCACCCACCCATCCACCCATTCACCCATCCATCCACCCATTCACCTACCCATCCACTCATCCAACCATCTATCCACTCACTCATCCATCCATCCATCCATCCACCCACCCATCCACCCATCCACCCACCCATCCACCCATTCACCCATCCATCCACCCATTCACCTACCCATCCACTCATCCAACCATCTATCCACTCACTCATCCATCCATCCATCCATCCACCCACCCATCCACCCATCCACCCACCCATCCACCCATTCACCCATCCATCCACCCATTCACCTACCCATCCACTCATCCAACCATCTATCCACTCACTCATCCATCCATCCATCCATCCACCCACCCATCCACCCATCCACCCACCCATCCACCCATTCACCCATCCATCCACCCATTCACCTACCCATCCACTCATCCAACCATCTATCCACTCACTCATCCATCCATCCATCCATCCACCCACCCATCCACCCATCCACCCACCCATCCACCCATTCACCCATCCATCCACCCATTCACCTACCCATCCACTCATCCAACCATCTATCCACTCACTCATCCATCCATCCATCCATCCACCCACCCATCCACCCATCCACCCACCCATCCACCCATTCACCCATCCATCCACCCATTCACCTACCCATCCACTCATCCAACCATCTATCCACTCACTCATCCATCCATCCATCCATCCACCCACCCATCCACCCATCCACCCACCCATCCACCCATTCACCCATCCATCCACCCATTCACCTACCCATCCACTCATCCAAGAATCCAACCACTTCTCACCACCTTCACTGTTGTCCCCAGGACCAAGCCACCATCATCTTTTGCTTGGAAGAATTTCACTGCACCGTCTAACGTCAACCACACTTCACTAGAGAAGAGTTGAATTTTAACGCATGGCCAAAGCAGGTTCTATTCCCTCTGTCTGTGTCTCTAGAACACAAATGCCGTCAGAGCAGGGATTGTGGTCTGTGTTGTCCATCCCCAGCGCCTGTGTCCCCATCACCCTAAGGAGTGCCTAACACAGAGCTGGCGCTCAATGAATGACTGTCAAATGAATGAATGAAATTCCATAAACACCCAAGCACAGGCGGGAGCCAGCACTTGCCAATGCTAAAATGAGGGGATTTTCAGAAACGAATCACCCCTCCCCAGTCCATTGCTCTGAGCGCCTTCTCTGAGCGCCGCCTCTGGAGTCGAGGTAGGAGGGCCGACCCTCACATTGTGGGGGTGGAAGTGCTGGAGTCAGAGGGACCTGGGTGCAAACTCTGGCTCTTCCGCTTACTATCTGTGTGACCTGCAGCTGTGGTTCTCCTCCTGTGAAATGGAGACACTACTGATAATTACTGGCATTTCTTTAAAAAATATATTTTATTGATTTCAGAGAGAAAGGGAGAGGGAGAGAGAGAGAGCTAGAAACATTAATAATGAGAATCATTGATCGGCTGCCTCCTGCACGCCCCCTCCTGGGGATTGAGCCCGCAACCTGGGCATGTGCCCTTGACTGGAATCGAACGTGGGACCCTTCTGTCTTCAGGCCGATGCTCTGTCCACTGAGCCATACCAGGTCGGGCTGGCATTTCTTTTACTGAATGCTAGGTGCCCGGCACTGCACTGAACCTCTCACACATAGCTCATGCGATCCCCCTACCACAACTTTCATCTTCCATGGGGAGCCGGAGCTGCAGAGAAGTGAACTACCCAAGGTCAAGGCTGTAGAGGCAGAGCGGATTGGAGCCCAGGCATTCCGACCTCACAGGGCTTTTTTTGCTACCTGACCTCCTGTCATATGAGGTAAGATCTGTAAACTGCCTAGCCAGCGCGTGGTGCATAGTCAGCCTTCCGAGGACGCTGACATCTTTACGTGTGGGGTCAGGCACCAAGAGTCTGAGGAGAGAGGCAGAGCCAGGGGATAGGGACGGGGGCTGATGGGAGCTCGATAGTCCTGTGTTGGCAGCTGAGCTCCCTACCAGGGGCACGAGCTGAAACTCCCTTCTCCATCCTCCAGAGAAGCCTTGGGGCCTCCTCCCCAGGCCTCCGGATTGACAGGCCTGAGTGAGGAGGACTGGGCGTGGGGCCAGGAGGTGGGGACTTAGCTCAGGCAGGCTAATCAGGTCTCAGGGTGAAATTAAAAGGGAGGAGGAAAGCACGAGTTCCATCAGAACTCACACTTCTTCCCGGCTCCCAGGTGCCCGGGAGCGGACCTGGGCCACCGGGCGCGAGGAGGTCGGGAGCCAGGGCGCAGGATGGCCTCGCAGAGGGCTGTGCGGCTGAGCCTGAAGAAGCCCACCCATGCGGTGTGTGTGGTGGGAGTCGAGACCTTTGTGGATGTTCGCAGGTGAGACCCGAGAGGCGCTCGCCGGGCCGCAGAGTGAAGGAGTAGAGGCAATGGGTGGGTGTGGGATGGGCACCTGGTACCTGTTTTGACAGCCGAGCAGGTGGGGTTGGCTGTAGAGCTTGGGAGGGAGGTTCAGGGTATCCGGTCCACCTTGGGGCCCTGGCTCGTGGGCAGCAGGGTCAGGACCCTGGCCTCGAGCCCCTGGACAAGGGTTCCAGCTCTGAGCCCTGGGGTCAGGCTTTGGGGTGTGGGCTCTGCGTCCTGGGGTCTGTGTGGAGCTTGCGTGGAGCATCAGAACGAATTGCTCAAACCAGGGAACAGGGCTGGGCGTCCCTCAGTTTCTTGCCAACAATTCGCCTCTCTGAGGTGGAGGGGTGAGGTGTGTGGCAACTTGATCCTTGGAGGCTAACCAGGGTGATAGGCATCAGGAGGGACTAATTAGGGGCTGATTTAATGAGTTAAAAAAAAGAAAAGATCTTGCAACAAGACCGGGGTTTGTGATGGCCACGATGGGGGTGGGGGTAATGGTGGCAGCGATGACATCTGAGGGGCAGCAGCAGCAGCAGCTTCTGCCGGCCCAAATCCTCCCTGTCCTGGCTCTGCCCAGTGGGGGCAGGCCCAGGGACCTGGCGCAGCCTCAGGTTCCCCACCCGGCCACTGATGGGGTTAGACTTGAGGATCCCTGGTGGCCTTCCCAGCTCTGACAGATGAGCTATGGATTCCATCTTGCTGTACGGATAGGGCTGGGGCCCCAGCAGATGGGGGCTCGAGCGGGAACCCTCTCCTAGAGGGGGCTGGGGCTGTTCCACAGTGGGGGTCTGAGCTCCTACGGCCCTCCTGGGCCTCAGTACCTGAGCTCTCCCAGTCTGGTGAATGAATGCCGGGCCCGGCTTCCCACCGGGCCTCAGGTGAGCCTCTGACCCACAAGCCCTCCAGGCCAGCCCTCTCTCCGTAGCGGCCTGAGGCCCCATTGAAGGGCCGGGGAAGGAGAGCCAGGAACCCTGGAGGTCAGACCGTGCCTCTAAGTCATACGGGGCGGGGGGGGCCCTGCGGTGGGGTTGGTTCTCTCAGAACTAAGTGGCCAGCAGAGACCCCATTATCTCTTGCTCCTTTACACAATTCCCCCCTCTTTCTGCTTTTGAGAGTATGTTTATTAAAGCTGGAGACAGTGAGACAAGGAAGGGCCTAGAGTAGAAGAAGCCACAGGAGAGAGACGAGGCCGAGCTGCTTTGGCTCTAGGAATGTTTGCGAAAGAAGGGAGCGAAGGCGGGGCTGCTGTCAGCTCCCTGGAGAGTCAGAGAAAAAGGGCCTTGGGGACAGGCTCGGGGGACCCGCTGTTGCTGCCCATTGCTCCCCTGGTTGCAAGTCTCCTGGGGTCCCTTAGAGTTTAGGAGGTGCACTCCTGCGGGGGAGCCAGAGCGGGGAGGCAAAAGCGCAGACATGCTCCTGGGAAGGCGAGTGGGTCCATTTTTTTCAGTTATTGTTGACATGCAATATTATGTTAGTTTCAGGCGTACAGCGTAGTGGTTAGACACTTATAGAACTCAGGAAGTGACCAGCCGGATCAGTCTAGTGCCCATCTGCACCATCCATAGTTATTCCGTACGATATCATGACTGTATTCCCTATGCCGTACTTTATTCCCTCGTCTCCTGCCCTTTTAACTCAGGGGGTTGCCAGACTGAGCGAATGAACACAGAGGACTCCTGGTGAGGGTTGCGTTTCAGATAAACAGCAACTTTTTTTTTTTTTTTTAAAGTACAGTAGTTCCCCTTTATCTGAGGTTTCGCTTTCCACGGTTTCAGTTAGCTGTGGTCTACCATGGTCTGAAAATATTAAATGGAAAATTCTAGAAGTAAAGAATTCGGATGTTTTGAGTTGGCCACCATTCTGAGAAGTGTGATGAAATACCACGCCGCTCCGTTCCATTCGGCCTGGGATGTGAATCATCCCTTTGTCCAGCACCCACCTCCTTGCATCTCATCACGCAGGCCTCGTGTCCTCTCACATCATCACAAGAAACGGAAGGGTGAGCACAGTGCAGGAAGGTATTTTGAGAGAGGAGAGGCCACAACAGTCAGATCACTTTTATTACAGGATCTTGTTGTAATTGTCCTATTTTATTATTAGTGATTGCTGTTCATCTCTTATTGTGCTTAGTTTATAAATTAAACTTGACCGTAGGTATGTATGTGTAAGACAAAACATGGTATGTAGAAATACCACCCACACGGTTTCGGGGGTCCACTGTGGGTCTTGGAACGTATCCCTTGAGGATAAAGGGCGTCTAATATATTGCATGGGACGTGCTTGTATTTTTAAAAATCTGCTGTTCAGCTGAAATTCTAATTGAGTGAGGCACCCTGTACTTTCTCCGGCAACGCTGTTTTAACACCAAGGGGAGGGAAGAGGTCCCTAGTGGGCCCCGTCTTCCCGACTCCAGACCCCTGTTCTCATCCCATGGGGTGGCTATTTCCGGAAGTAATTTCAGAACCTCAGGCCCTTGGTGAGCATTTGACTGGGAGCCAGGTCACCTCTGACGGAGTTAGATGCAGGGACCTCTGGGAGCCTTCCACTCGGCCACTGACCTGCTGTCTGGCCTGGGCCAAGTCACTGGCCCTCTCTTAGCCCCGAGTCAAGCTGCGTCCACTCTTCAGTTCAGTGTGGAGATAAAGTGCCCAGACTTTGGAGCTGGACAGACTTGGCTTCTCGTCCTCGCTCCCCCCATTCATGGCAGAGTGCCCCCGGGCAAGCTGCTGCACGTCTCTGAGCCTCAGTGTCCTCATCTGACAAATGGAGAAACAATGGCACGCACCGTCATGGGTTAGGAGGAAGGTATATGAGACGTGCATGTACAGGGCCCTGTGCATGGAGAGTGCTCACAGCAGTGACGGCTCTGTGGGGTCCTCCAGTTCCTGTGCTTTCCATCATGCCTCAGAGCGTGGGGGGCAGAGGACAGGTCAGGGTGCGTGTGGTGGGAACAGAGGATGATGCTGACTGTGACTCCTTTGGGACCATGAAGCACCTTAGCAGCTCCAGTGCGGGCCCTGCCCCGCTGAGGGCACGAGGATGTTGCCTGGGATGCTCGTAGCTGCCGGGCTCTGCTTGTCTCTGGGAGGGGGTGTTGCTTCGGGGTCCTGAGTGAGCACTCTGAGAGGCCTCCACTAAAGAGCCCGCCAGGAACCTTCTCCCCGGTGTTGGTGGTGACAAGGTCATAGCTTCTTCGGCAGCAGATTGGTTTGAAAGTGACCTGGAGAACTCCCTGCAGGCGAGGCCTGCTGTGGGTGCAGAGAGGGACACGGCATTGTCACGGGAGGTGAACAAAGGGGGATGGTGTTGTCAACCTGGGAGAGTTTGAAGAGGAGCCTGAGGCTCACTGCAAGGCCTTGGCCAGCCAGGAGGAAGGGGCTGCACCTGATCATGAACTTGGGGCTCCCCCACCCCCTTGCTAGGTGCCTGGCCAGCTGAGCCACACAAGGGGTTTCTATCCAGCCTTGCTGCTGGAAGGGGGAGCCTCCCAGAAGAGGAGGGGTGCCGTCACCTCAGCTGCCCGGAGTCTGAACCCTCCAGGAGAGCCCGCGGAGATGGGTGTGTGGGGGTGACATCACGGGAAGTGATTCATTCCCCCAGGTGCGGAGTGGACTGGGGTTTGGAGAGATATTTGTGTTTGGGTAATCGTGTGCCCCAGGGTGTCTCAGCCCAAGAAAACCTTAGAGCTCCCCTGTAGCATGTGCTGCAGATCCCACCCCTCCCTGCAGCAGGCTAGCTCACCACCCTGACCCCTCACCCCAGTGGGCTAGCTCACCACCCTGACCTCTCACCCCAGTGGGCTAGCTCACCACCCTGACCCAGGTTGGCCAGACTTCCCTGGCTGTCTACATCCTTGCTTGGAGGTGGCTCTCAGAGGACGCATACAAAAAAAGAGGGCTGGGCAACATGGGGAATCCATCAGTGGCCCAGCCTGGCCCTCCTTGTCTGCCCAGGAGGCCATGATGACAGCTGGGAACATTTACTTCGGGATGGAGGAGGAGAAGGCTGGCTGGGTAGGGGACAGGGGTATTCTCCTGGAACTTTCCCCAAGCCTCCTGCAGCCCTGCAAAAGCATCAACACAAAAGAGACCCTTGGGATCCGAGACTAGAATTCAAGGAGCGCAGGGTGGGGGGTCGCTATGGGACCTCTCAGATGAGCCAGAGAGAGGACCCAGGCAGCTGCCTTCTCTGGGGCTCCCTTATTTCAAAACAAGAAAATGCCGGAACAGAGTTCGAAACTTGTGGCCAATATGTCCGTAATTCCTTAATAATCCAGGAATAAATGAAGGCTTTTAACTTGCACAGAAGTGCAATGAGGCATAATTGTGCTCTTCACGTGGTAATTTAATTATGGGATTGACGCCGGGATTAATCACAGTGACTGGCAGGTTCCGACAGCCGGGCCGGGACCCGGGTTTCACGCCTCGTGAGGACCTTCTCTCCTCCTCCCTCCATCCTGTTCCGCATCCCATCCCATCGCACGTGTTAATGCTTGAAATTGAGGGTTCTTGGAAAACAGGAGGCCAGGGTCCCCCATAAGTTCCCTGGGACCACAAGAGGTCTGTGAGCTGTAGACTCTGGATGTAGAGTGTATGTTCTTGGGACGCGCAATACTGTTCATCAGGGAGGGCTCAGTGGCCAGCCACCCCTCGGCTCAGGGGGCTACCTGACCCCTGACCCCTGCTGCCACCCGCCATTTTCAGACCTATCGGCCCCTCTTTCCCGCCCGCTTCTGGCCCCATCACCGCTCCCCTGTGCCCCCCCTTATCATTTCCAGTCTTGGCATCACCCCAATTCTTCACCTTCTCCTTTCCCTTTCCAGCTCCTGTCACTTCCACCCTCCAGTTTTCTCTTCTCCCCCCAGACCCCGCCCCTCTGCCCTGGGTGGGCGGGAGGGTCTGAGAGAAGATTCCAGATGTAAGGAATGGGGGTGTCGCTCACTGGCGATGGAGATTCCTCCTCGGTCCCAG